ACTCGGTAGACAGAAATGGGCCATCAAAAAGCAATGCAAAAATCAGCAATCAGAATGAACAAAAAATTTTGACAAAGAAATTCTTTTACTAAAAAGTCAAAAAAAAAATTTGTGAAGGCAGGGAGATATCTACCTGGCAAAATGCCACAATTATTTTGAAACGCAAAATCGCACTTGAACGCTAAACTTATTACCAAAAACACTAAAAAAAAGTAGATAATAAAAAAAAAGAATTCTGCGTAAAACAACACAGCTGCCGATGAAAAGACACTAATAAAATGCGAAAAAAAAGTAGGGGAACGTCCACTGCTTGTGAAAGCAGCAGCTAAACGTTATGTAAAGTAAATTCAGATAATTTAGTGCCCCGAACACGGACCGATAATGCAATGGTGCGCATCACGATATGAAAGATGCACTAACAGTAAACCAGAGTTCATCTACCCCGATGATGCAGGAATTAAAGACTTATTACTTTATTCTCATAAAAATTGCCTTCTCTTAATTACATAGAATTACTGCCCATATCATATGTTAGTTTCCTCCACACTCTTATTGCTTTCATGCCACTCACTCTCACTCTCTCCTTCTCACTTTTTCTTTCACGTCTCCGTCTTGCAAAATAGTTACATGTCCCTTCAATACATGGCCAGTAGGAGGCTCTACTGACGATTCTCACTCCTACCCACATGCACAGTCTGGTCTGTGTTTACAGCTAAGGATGAAACACAGGCTGCATCGTAAAATGTGTTTTTGTAAATGGCACTTAAGTCGAATCCTTCTACTCTACTATTCAGTGCTTTCCGAAAAAAGGGATCCATCTACACCAGAGAAGCTCACCAAAATACGCTGATGGGAAAAGAAAAGGCCAAAAAAACCGCAATGTCTGCTAAAAAAAACTGTTTGGCGGAGTAACACAGCATCATGGCAACACGTTCCAATAATATTCAAAATTAAATACGAACCGTCGCCCATCGTTTCGATTTTTTAGTTGCTGAAATTGCTTTCGGTGGTGCAGAAGTTCCAGAGTTGTCGACTTCCATTTTTTCATTCGACGAAATTTCTGTTTTCGCAATTTCTCCCACAGCAACATATTCATTTACAACTTTTGCTGGAGCAGAATTAATAGATTTAGCGATTTCCAATTTTTTTTCCGACGCACTTTCTGCGTTCTTTGTTTCTTCCACAGCAACATATTCATCTGCAACTTTCGCTGGAACAGAAATCACAGAGTTATCGACTTCCGTTTTCATTTCTGAAGAACCTTCGTGAATTTCTACTGCTTCTTCCACAGCAGAACCTTCACCTGTAACTAACAGGTACGCATCAGTGGACCAAAATCTGTTCAGGGCCCTCACTAATGAATCTCTATAACACACGCGTCCTAAATAACGAAAAGGAATAACGATTCACTGAACAAACTTATAAAACGCAAGAACCAAAAGCATATTAGGATCGGCAATAATGATTACATCTAAATATAGGTACTGAATGAATCCCCTACTGATGACGGGTTTTTATCGAGCAATTTTCACTCGCATAGACTCAAGATTTTTCTTCTGCTTTTACTTTTTTTGCTTTAGGTTCACACTTTTTTTAAACTTTGCTTTTATGCTTTTATTTATTTTAATTCACTTTTTTGGTACTACTTTGTTTTCTTTTCCCCTTTACTGCTACTTCCAGCTTTTTGCCTCGAGCTTCTGACTTGTGCATCGTTCCCATCCTTTACTCTGTCCCCAAATCCTGCCAGCAAAGCAACATCTGAGCTGCTTTCCACCTCCACTTCCACCCTTTCCCTATCCCGGGCATCGGCGACTAAAACCAGAAGCACATTTCCTCCTCTTTTCCACCCATCAATCCCTCCCTCCCTCCTCTCCCTCACCTGGCATAGCCAACCATCACAAAATCCATGGCACACAGCCTTTGATCCATACACCCAACGCCCCTCCTTCTATCTCGAATCCCGACGCGCGAAACTCGTACACACCACTCCCGTCATCCCCACCCGATCTGCGGCATCCGACGTCCCCTGCCACAGCGGGGTAAGGACACCCGCCATCAGGAGAAAAAATTTTTGGCGAATCGTGTATGACACTGGCTAAGCCAAGCCGTGGTTTACTAACTGTCGAATTTCCCAAGCCAGAAACCCAGAACTCCTCCGAATTCAAAAAAACAAAAAAAAAAAAAAAAAAAAAAAAAAAAAAAAAAAAAAA